CACAGAACTAGATGAAGATTTGGAACAGCCGAAAAATCTTGACCCTCAACAAGAGTATGCGGAGAATATGGAATCTTTCCAAGAGTCTAAGAAAAATTCGGCTGACATAGTAGAAGAATATCGAAAAATGTTCGCCGACATACAAAAGACTCCAACATCAGATGAAAATATTCAGCATAGAATGGAAGTACTGAAAGAAAATGTACGCAAATACAATAACCCTTTTTACTTACGACCATATAACGTTCAATCTTTGGCTGAACTCGGTGAAAATAAAAGGTTAAATTTCAACAAAACATATAGAAATGAAACATTGTTTAAAGTTCATTCAGAACCTAACCAATATGGAAACAAACCTACTTTTGTTTCTGCAGACTATGGAACTACAATGAGATGGGGTCATAAAGCTAATCCGGATAGGTGGTTCATAAACTTACAACCACAATTCCAAGAAGTTGTAGACGCAATGGAAGTGAATGGTGAACCAGATATAGCTGGTATTTTCAGCGCGGCTTTAATGCCATTGAAAGATATGAAACATGCAGATATTTTGGACCAGTATGAAATGAACATGGCTGATGGAAATATAACACCTGACGTTCTAGAACATTTATCTCAAAGAACTACACAGAACCATAGAGATGGTCTATTTGGTGAAGAGTTTAGAAAGAAAGTTAGGGAGAGAGAAGGAAGAGAACCTATTGTACATGACCTTGCAAACGAAAGTTTACAAAATGTCATAAAAACTTACTTTGCAGACAATGAACCGAGAAGGGATGAATATTTAAGAAAACTCAAATGGACAGTACCAAATGAAATGTTAGTATTGAAAAACATGTTCCTTGACAAAATAAAACCAACTACAGAAATAAATGACGCAAGACTGAAACAGTGGGTAAAAGCTTTCCCATTCACAAAAGATATTATTGGTAACATGGAAAGAAAACCAGAATGGCTACAAAAACATATATTTGGAAACGAGCTTATTCCATATGGACAAGCTCTGTTTGAAGAGCTTGAACCGGAAACTCAGGAAAGAGTCATGCAAACAATAAGCGACGACTCAAATACAAACTATGACGAAATCTTTCTAGGATATAGGTTACCTGAGATGGGCGACCAGAGCCCAAAGGCAAAAAGGACATGGGAAATTAACAACATACTAGGTGAACATGAGGCAAAGATGCAACAACTTGAAGCAGAGGGCAAGTTACCAAAAGCGACACCAAAGAAGAAGAGAAGAGTAAAACAAAGTGAAAGTAGTGAAGAAGTAACTTCATCTAGTGAAAGTAGTGGCAATGAAGGAAAAAGAAGAGTTAAAAACTCAGTCAGGAAGAAAGTAAAGCTTGGTACGAGTGGGTTCTATTATGACATATAAATCCAACTATTCTATATTTTTACCCATATGAAATGTACGCCGCTCAGAATATAACGCCAACAGTTTTGGATGCCATGAACGGAAATGTTTCCGAATGGTATAACGAATGCGACAATGCCATTAGAAGGTCAGAAATAGTTCCTGGAACTTACGAATATACAACTGCTGTTTCTTATGGAAACGTAGGTGAGTTTGGTGAAGGTTCTTCAACAACAGTAGATATTGCTTGCGACAGGTTTCATATTATTTCTATTGACAACTCATTCTTATACGTGGAACAAGACATTGAAATAAAACCTTCTGCCAAGTTGTCTGACAAGAAAGGTTGCAATGGAATTTTCTATGTCGGATACCAATATGCTCCAGAAGTTTTCATGGGATATAAGATATATTCTAACTCTGACTTAGTTCAAACAGTAACATGGGCAAACTATGAATGGTTCGCTTTGAGAAACTCAGTACAACCACAAGCTAGAGAACAAACAGACCAGTATGCAACTATTGAGAAAATAAGAAGACTTGACCCTAACGTTCCAGGAGTTTATGTTAACCTTTCTGGTTCAGATGGAACTGCTGCCACTAAAGTAAAACTGAAACTTAGAGTTCCTTTGTCATCTTTCCTCATCTTCAGGTTTTTAAGATACTTGCCAAACTGGGCAGGAAAAATTTCTATTGAACTTACTCCAAGCAAAAATAACTTAGTCATTGCACCAACGCAAGACCATTCACTATTACAGACGTAACGGAACAAATAAAACGTCATTCGCCGACTTTTGCAAAGACAAAGTTGACTTAGACTTTGGTTTCTCAAACCTCAACACTGAAGTAAACTATTATTTCAATGCTGCTGGAACTGCTTGGGACCCAGTTAAGTTCACATGCGAAAAATTTGAATGCAAGAGAATAGAAAGCAGACTTGCAGTCTATATGTTGGACCCAGATATTTCAAATGCTTTAGCTGCCAAATATATTGCAGTTCCACTTATGTTCCCTATACACCAAATATCTGTCAAAGACTTTGCAGGTGAAGTTGGAAACCAAAGTGCTGACCCAGGTGCAAGAACAGATATTGCTTTAACAACTGCAATGAAACATGCAGATACTATGTTTGTACTGTTCAGACGAACTATAAATGACTATTCTTGTTTCTACAACCCTGGTATTAAATATCATATAAACATAGATGGCAAATATTATCCAAGAGAAGAATATTCTACAGTTGAGGATATGAGGTCATACAACTTGACATTAGATGCTATGAACTTTAACAACAACTTCACAACAACCATTAACCCTGAAATGCAAAGTTCTATTATGCCATATGTGAAAGTATGGACTCATACAGGAGGTCAAAAAACTCAATATACAAATGGAGACCGTTCAAACTTTTGGCTTGGCATTCCATTTGCTGACTCAGAAGACTTTATGGGTGGTATTTCAACTGTTGGTACAGTTCAAATACAATATACTGGTGACAGAGACGGTCCAGATGAATTGAAAGCAAAGAAGTTTACAAAACCAATAGCACTTTTCACGGAAGATGCTCTTTTGAAGATTCGTTCGATGAAACCTGCTGGGGCTCCTCAGATTGGCATAACGACAGCTTCCATCGAGCAGATTTTGGCAGCAGGTCAGTAAGTTGTTCTTGAACTGACTTCTCTCCGTCAAATATTGACAGTACGCCAGTTTTGACATAATATTGTATTATAAACTTACCTTTAGAAATATCGGTCAGTTTTGAAGTTATATTTTTGTCAACGTCAAGAACTTTCACCATCTCGGTTATACCAACTTTCTTTGCTTTATGAAAATATTTAGGTTCAGCAAAGACTGCTATTCTATAACATTTTCCATTGTTTGTGTAAAGAACTATTCTGTCAATGTATTTGTATTGTTTGTGAGTATAAACTTTGTTCTGCTTCAATTCAATAAGATATCCGAATACGTCCATCTTTTTATTCTAAGTAAAATGTCATTTCCGAAAAATAGAAGCGTAAGTGTTTCAAAAGGTTTAATGGCGGTGGCAGATGTGAAGTTAAATTCACCAACTCAAACAAACAGTCAAAGTGTTGTTGTCAATGTCAAAGACAGAGATGTTGAAGTGGGGAAACCATACAAAGACGAAGATGGTATAACAATTGTTCCTGTAAAAGAACCAACATACCCTGAAGTTAGCAGAGACTTAAGTTCTGTTGCAGATATTCGAAACGACTACCAACAACTGAAAGACAAACTTAAAACTCAGGAGAAGATTTGTCAAGCTTTAAGTATAATGTTAAACTTGGTCGAACACAACCCTGTAAAAGTGAACTCATATGTCATTGCACCTCATGAAGTTTTGAAAGAACTATTGAAACTTTTGACAGAGGCAGACGATATAAACATCAAAGAAATAGAACCCGACATTAGTTGCTGTGGTGTTTCATATAATGCCATTGACAAGATATACGTTATGAAAGGAGGTGAAACGTTAAACTTAAAATATAGTTTCCCAGACGTTATAAAAATATTTGACGACCACAACATTTCATTAAAGTTTATTTGCTAAGTAAAAATGTCAAAACTTCTTGAAAGATGTTTGAAGAAAAATAATATAGACTTTATTTCATGTAAGGACTTTACACACTTTTGAACGATATGAAAGACCCTGTTTTGTTTGTTCGTGTAGACAAAGGAAAGTTCTATGTCTTTACAAAATATTTGAACTTCTTAGACAGAGAACTTCAAGAAACGCCATGTGAAAGTTTAGATGAAGTTCTTCTCCACTTTCAGAAAAACTTTTAAAATATATATAAATGGCAGAAGACATAATGGTTTATACTATTACGACTAAAAACCCTGAGTCATATAATTCTATAACAACAAACTTACAAAGTCCTCAAGGACGATATTGTAAACTAACCTTAAACACAATGACGACTAAAGCCTGTTTTGCTCTTTTGACACCAGAAGACTTTATTGTTGTGAATGGTAAAAAATACTCCTTTGAAGATACTTACTCAGATATACCACCAACAGGTTTTGTTGACTTATTTAATACTTTACGTACGAGTGTAACATGTGCTGCAACTAGAGCAGGTTTCATTATGTTTGGATGTCCGACTGAGTTTACTATAAACGATATGAGCTATAATACAAAACTTATTTCTGGTTTTTACTACCAACAGTTTCCTATAACAGGAAAAGGTGTCATACAAGGAATGTCTATTCCATTGACATTAAGCACACCAATCTTATATATTGTTTCAAACTTAGGTTCAAAGTGTTATTCGAATGTTGACAGAAACTATTATGACCAAAAGATACTTATGCGTATAAACAATACTTTCTCTGCTGGTTTGCCTATTGTTCATTCGAATGCAGAATTTTCAACCTTAGTGAACTCAAACACTTTGGCAAGTATAACGTTGACATTAGTTGACGCAAACTTTGTTCCTGTAAAACTTTTATGTCCTATGTATTTGTCAATGACGGCAGAAAGTTTCGAATTGGAAGATGCAACTGGTGAAAGTATTGTATTACAAGAACAACTTCAACAACAAATAGCTCAAGAACAACAAATGCAACAAATGGAACAACAAAGTCAAGAATAAAAAAAATATTTTTTTTTATTTTTATAAAAATGTACAGAATAGATGTTTCAGATTTTTATGACTTCCAAGCATTTAGAAATATGTGTCCATTTAGAGACTATAACAAAGCAGTCGAGAATTTGAAACGTTTAGTCATTTATGTTGACTCTGCCCCAGAATGTTATGTCATGAAAGAATGGGATGTTGTCTTTAACAAACCAAGAGCAACAATAGTTTCAGAACAAGAATGTAGACAGAAACTTAAGAAAATAAAAGTTGTACAAGTTGGAATGAAGATGTTAGATGCTTGGGATATCTTATTGTCAAAGTTAGAAGATTTTTCAGTTCGAGGTATAAAGTTCTATACACCATCTCCAAACTTCTATTCTATCTTCACTGGATATAAATATGAACAAGTAGAATGGAAACACAGTATTATAGAAGCTTGGTTAGACCATGTCAAAGAAATTATATGCAATGGAAACGAAAAGGTTTATGAGTATATCTTATGTTGGTTTGCAAACATCTTACAACATCCAAGTGCTAAAAATGAAACTGCTCTCATTATAATTGGAAAACAAGGAACAGGTAAGAACACATTCTTTACAGATATCTTGTGCAAACTGTTAGAAGGTTATTCGAATCCGAATATGACAAACTTAGAAAACATCTGTGGCAAGTTTAACTCCTCAATAGAGAATATGAAACTTATAGTTTGCAATGAACTTCAAAGTATAGATACAACAAAAGTTTTGAACTCAGATGCTTTGAAGAGTCTTATAACAGACAAAGTTGGAGTTGTTGAAAGAAAGTATAAAGACCAAAGAGTTTGTGAAAATGTTGCAAACTTCATTATGGTTTCAAACAATACTGTTCCGATGAAGTTAGAAAGTTCTGACAGAAGATATGTAGTTGTCAGAACGTCAGAAGCTCATATGCAAGATACAGAAATTTTGACGACTTAGCAGAAACTTTGACATCTGACTTTTACAACCACTTGTTCTCATATTTCATGACATTAGATATTTCTAAGTTCAATCCAAGACAAATTCCACATACCGAAGAGAGACAAACATTGTTAGAAGCAAACAAGAGTGTATATGAACTGTTCATAGATGAAACTGACTTTGTGTCATTAGATGAAAGGTCTTTATATGATGAATATAAACAATATTGTCAAGAATATGGTTATATGGCAGCTTCTAAACGAACATTCTTGGCAAATGTCAAAAGTCTTTTAGATGTTCAGAATGGTGTATATACAAAGAAAATTTTTTCTGAGTAAATTTTAAAAAAAAATATTTTTTTATCCGATAGAAAAGATGACAAAATTCATCTCAGTAAACAAGTACATGTCAGGACTTAAAGAAGAACTAGACCCATTCACATATTTGAATGTTTACTTCTACCATTTTGAAAAGTCTTCATTCAGCAAAGTTTGGAACATCGAACCAGTTAAGTTTGCTATTGTGACTAAAAATGGTGCGAAATTTGAAGACTTAGACATAGAAGGTTTGTTAGCAGTCAAAGAAAGTTTTGACAGAAGGTTCTCAAACCTTAAAGAAGGCAAAGCATACAAACTTGTTATACCTTATGAACCAAAGAAAGCAGACGACTATGAATATTATGAGTCTAAGATAGTTGAAGTTCAAGGTAAATTGGGTAAAAAGATTTTAGAGTCTAAGCCAGTGTTTGCCCCTAAAGAGGAAGAGAACATTGACATTGACCCAGAAATGTTCTAAAAATAAAATTTTATTTTTACATGTCATATCTCATCTTCTCTGGAACTGGTTCAGGTTCTTTCTTCTCTTCTTCTACTTTCTTTTCTTTCTTTTCTCTTCTTCTTTTCTGGTGGAGTTATGTCAAATTTGGCGCAACTATATTTATGTAAAAGTTCTTTGTCCTTTAATAGCTCATCTATTCTGTTTTCTATTTCATCTTCAAGAACAGCGCATGTGTCTTCTTTGCATTCTAAGAACTTTTGTTGGACTTCATCTTTCCAATCGCGTCATCTCTGTCAACAAGTCTGTCATTGACAAATTTTAAGACTGCTCTGCTTAATGTTTTATGGTTCTTGTCATATTCCCAGAAACAGAACTTTAGAACAAATTCACCTTTCTTGTTTACACTATGTAAGATTTTATGGTCGACAGATGTTTTGCTGTCGAAAAGCTTGTCTCGAATATAGATAGCGAAATCACTAGACATTTTCTAAAAGATAAAAATTTTAATTTTTCTAAAAATATGTTAGAAAAAAGTTTGCTGACATTGACAAAAAATTTGAGAATGTTTTAAACAAGAACAAGAGGAAGTTAGAAAATGCTCAGATAAAGCCTATACATGACAAGTTCTTATTTGCTCAGAATGGTATAACAGGTCTAATTGCACCACCTGGGTCGGGTAACTTTCACTTATCTTAAAATGGCTGCACAACAACAAGAACTAGATGAGAAGAACCCATTCTATGAGTTAGTTGTTATTTGTAGTACTTCTGGTCAATTTGACCAAACCGTCAATTCGTTCAAAGATATTATAAAGAAGTCTAAGTTAGTATGTATAAAGGATACTGAGTTGTTAGATTGGATAAAGAAGTACCAAAGAAGAGTTTTGAAGTATAATGCTATAAATGAGTATATAAATTCTAAGTTTAAAGACCCAAATGAGGAAATGCAGAGAATATTAGAGAAGAAACACTTCAGAAACAAACAGAAAGAGATAGAATACATTTCGAAGAAATTGCAATCTTACGATTGGAAGACTTACCCTCATAGATGTCTTCTTATCTTAGATGACTTTGCTTCTCATCCTTTGTTAAAGAACAGAGAACAAGATATGTGTCGAATTCTTAAGAAGCTCAGACACTTTAACATTTCAGTCGTAATATGTGTACAGACAGCAAAGAGTTTAAGTAAGGATGTTAAAAGAATACTTACTGACATAATACTTTTCCCCGGATTGTCCGAAGACGATTTCATGGAACTTATGAAAGAGTCCATGGCAGGTAAGTTTGACAGATATGAACTCTGGGAGAAGTATAAAGTCATACAAGACCCTCATACTTCTTTCAGAATTCATATCTACGCAAACAAAGTTCAAATTGTAAAAAGTCAAGCTTGAAAAATAAAGAGTTTTGGCGACCCCGAAAAAAGTCTGTCTCGCTGTTCTTCACTGTTTTCATAGAGTTTTGGCGACTGGAGTTTTTTACCTACTCGCTGTTCTTCACGATTTTCATACGGAATCTCTTCCCTCGGTTTTCCGAGGGAAGCAAGCATATGAGGAAATTCATGATTTTTGTTGCTGAATTCAATAAAAATAATGTTTAGGTGAAGAGGTGAGATCTCACCCGTTTTTTCACCCGTTTTCTCACCTGTTTTTTTTCACAAGCGTTTTACATGAATTGTACGATGTATATTTGAAATCCTAAACATTCTCGTCAAATGAAAAAAATGAAAAAAATGACACTTTTTCATTAGATAACTGTTATTTTTTGACGAAGTGAACATTAACACTTCGTCAAAAAAATCCCTGAAATCATATCTTTACATACAAAAAAATACAAAAAAATGACACTTTTTCATTAGATAACTGTTATTTTTTGACGAAGTGAACATTAACACTTCGTCAAAAAAATCCCTGAAATCATATCTTTTATACAAAAAAATGAAGAATAAATAAAATAAAACTAACTTTATTTTTTTATTTCGGGAAAATTCATGAAAATTCATGAGGTGAGAAAACAGGTGAGAAAACAGGTGAGATCTCACCTCTTCACCTAAACATTATTTTTACTGAATTCAGCAACAAAATTCAAATTGTAAAAAGTCAAGCTTGAAAAATCTAAGTGTTTAGTCTTAGTAAGATGGTAGCTTCTTAAAGCAAATACCATTGCTGAGTTTTATGTACGTGAAGAGAAGTACAATGAATTCAATTACGAGTACAATTGCAATGACAACTAAGGCAACTATTTTTGTCTTTTGCCAGCAAGGGTACTTCTTCTCTTCCAATGGTTCGGCAGAACTATACTCACTCATGAGAAATGCCAAAACGGTTTAATAGAAAAAGTGTCATTTTTTTCATGTCCGAAGACTCGAAGGTGCAACACTTCCAAAATACCGACGAACTCAGAAGAGCAGCATGGCAGTATGTTCTTGACAACTTCTTTGAGTTCTCCAGGAACACCTTGGAAAATGCTGAAGAACTCCGACACAGAGAATTTGGAGAAATTGCACTCCAATACTACCTTGACAAACAAAGGGTAAACAAAGGGTAAAATAAGACTAAAAACTTAACGTTTAAAAAGTGACATTTTTATGAGCTCCGAGTCACCGAGAAAACTTGGTCAGATGTTAGCAGCTTACTTCCCTGAGGAGGATGGAAGCGTTACATACGTAAGGTTCAAAAAAACGAACCTGGAATTGCGTACCAAATTCGCAATTACATGACCATGGAAGAGTACGAAAGGTTCCTACAAGAGAAACCAGCTCTAAACAACTCAGAAAAGAAAGAATAAAAAGTTTAACTCGTAATTGTTTATTTTTTTACTTGTATGGGCAAGCTGCAAGAATGAAGTCGACTATCTCGGTCTTTGTCTTGACCAGTTGGACGGCTCTTGCGAGTACGTCTGTTTTGCGGTCTCCAGCTGGTGTCTGACCTTCGTAATTGCGCATGTTCTTGAGAGCTCCAACTGTAAATGATTGTAGGATGAAGAGTCTCTCAGACTGCTTGAGGTAGTCTTCACGGTCACGAACCGAATCTGTGGTACGAGTCGAATTGGTCGACCTTAGGGAAGAGACTGAAAGCCTGTCGTCTTCCATTGGAGCTGTAGCATACTCTTTGCGTAAGCGGTTCAGGCCTTCTTCGAAGTCTTGGTCTCTCTTCGATTTGGATTGAGATTGGAATTGCTGGGGTGGAGCTTGCTGGAACATCCAAGGGTTGGGGAAGTAAGGCATAGGCTGAGGAGGGTAGTTCGGGAAGCCTTGTGGTAGGTAGTAACCTTGAGGTGGAAATTGGTAGTAATTCGGAGGTACTTGCTGGAACTGAGGTTGCTGAGGAGACTGTTGTGGTTCTGCAGCTTTCGGTTCTTCTGGTTTGGGAATGGACTGGGTTGGTGGGACGTCGGACATTCGTTTGTGGCTTAACCGTCGGACCACAACGATAAAAATCTCTGCTACTAGCAGTACTTCTACTGACAGTAGAAGTACTTTTTCTGACAGTAGAAGTACTTTTACTGACAGTAGAAGTACTTTTACTGACAGTAGAAGTACTTTATCGTCGAAAACCCTCTCAAATTTTCCTTTTTACTGACGGTAGAAGTACTTTTACTGACAGTAGAAGTACTTCTACTGACAGTAGCAGTACTTTTTCTGACAGTAGCAGTACTTTTTCTGACAGTAGCAGTACTTTTTCTGACAGTAGCAATGGTCGAGGTCGAACCTACCGACGAGGCAATTTACCTAATTGAAATTAACGAGCTTGTTAAAGACTTCCTCAGGCAGAATGTAAAAGGCAAGCTTGTTAACGGTTGGATAACGGGAAGGGCTGCCTTGAATCTCGAGACTTCGACTGGAATTCCAATTCAAATACCAGACGGGACAGCCTACGATGGCATAAAGCAAGCAAAGAAAGAAGCTCTTCTCAAGTTCTTTGCCAAGCGTCCTTGGATACTACTTCCAAACAAGGAGAACCCTTTCCCAAGAATGAGCCAAATTCTCAAGGGTCTCCTTCACTTCTCGGGTCAGCCGTTCTACATAACCTGTGAAGGCGACATCCAACCAGTTCAGTAAACCTTAACGTTTAGAGTAAAAACATTTTTTTTCATTTTTTGAATGAAGCAAGTTAAATTCGTCCCACACCAATCTCAATGGACCGATGAAGAGTTTCAAGCCATAATTGAAGACGTTGAGAACGACATA